TCTCTCTCTCACATCGATGTTCCTCTCTCTCTCTCTCTCTCTCCCTCCCTCTCCAGATAAATGGAGAAAATACACATCATCGAGTGAGGATTGGAAAAAACACAAAATTTTAAAAATATGTTCTCTCTTCATATCATGGCAAACATACTTTCAGAATGACCTGGAAGGCCAGGTTTAATTGACAACATTTTGAATTCCTAGGAGTTTTGTACTAGAATGTGGGGTACAGGGAAACCCCAGTCCTCAGTCCGGCCCCATTTGCTTCACACCTCCAACTCTGGCTTGCATAGCAAGGAGCTTTATGCATGCTCCTGGGGACCCTATCCTACATTTTCAAGCTCTTTTCTCACCCCTCTCCCCAAAGCTGTCCTTAGCCACTTCTGGGGTCTGGGTGGGGTGAAATGGCAGGGTGAGGCACACCCTGACTGCATGGTCTGCCTTCAGAAAACCAAAGGCCTTCTCAGTGCACTCATGACCACTGGGGCAGCCCTGGCTGGGTGGCTCAATTGGTTGGGGCATCATCCTGTACACCAAAAGGTTGTAGGTTCCATCCCCGGTCGGGGCATGTGCTGGTTCTCTCACATTGATGTTTCTCTCTCTCCCTTCCTTTCTCTAAAAATCAATAAAAAATATCCTCTGGGAAGGATTAAAAAAACAACTTCCTTTTTATTAAAAACGACAACACTGGGACAAGGAATTCTGGGGTCCCAAGTACCCCGATTAGGATCTAGAAGAGGGAGGTGCAGGATGTGTTGGGCACCTTCCCTTTGCCCCCTGGGAGGGTCTCCACTGGAATGTGCTCTCTAAAACAGGGAGCACAGGGCAAGGACCTTTCTCCTTGAGGTTCATGTCTCAGAATTGCACACTGTGACCAAGGCTGGGGTGGGGGAAGCTCTGGAGACTATGAGAGACCAGCCTGGAGAGTAGGTTCTTTTCCCAAAGGGTGGTTAAATGAAACAGGAAGTCAGTTGAGAAAGGGGCTGCTGACACTTTAAGAATGGCATGGGGGTGTAAAACAAAGACCCTCAAGAATTGGGTGGGAAGTTCTCTGGACCTTCCTCATCACAACTCCACCCTTAACTGTTACAGAAGCTAAGGGTTCAGCATCCTGGAGGCCACTTAATCTAATTCTGTCACTTCACAAAAGGGAAAACTGAAGCCTAGAAACCAGAAGTGAGTTGCCTATAGTTACCCAGATCGCAGGTCTCCTTATTCATTCCCACAGTGCTCAGAATCCTCTAGCTGGCTAGAACTAGGGTCTGAGAAGGGAGGGCAGTAAGTAGTGTGTAAGAATAGCCAGCATGTGTGGTGTGCAACGATGCTCACATGTGGGGGACCCTTGGTGGGCAGGCTGGACTTGAGGTGTCTGGTGTGCCAAGTGGAGGTGCTATTTTCAGAGGGGGTCCGCTACTCCCCACTCTGGTCCACATGCCCCACCACGCATGTGAGAGCACATTTACCGGGAGGCAGCCTAGTGCAGCAAGGAGGCCAGTGGCTGGTAAATAATTTATCAGGACAGCTGATAGTACCTCCCCAGAACTGCCGCCAGCCCCCAGCCCCCCTCACCCCATGCACCTCCTGCCTCCCAGCCCAAACCAGCTGGACCAGCTCTCCCGGTGCCTGACCGCAGCCCCCCACCCCCCCCCCCTGCCAGCCACAGCCTCCAGGGCACGTTTAGGCAGGCAAGTGGGCAAGCGGGTGGTGGGTCCTGATCTCGAAGATTGGAGACCAGAACGTGGGCTTCTGGGCAGAGATGGCCCTGCAGAGCCAGATGTGGTCTCCAGCCACACCCATGTAAGTGTCCAGGGGCAGGGGGGCAAGGGGGCAGGGCCTGGGAGGGACTCGTGGGGGACACTAGCCTTTCCACTGGGGTGAGAGCCCCAAATGGCCTCTCCTAAGGAGACCAGGGGTAGTGGAGGGATGCCAGCAGCCAACCTTGAAGGCTCTTAGATGCCCCCCCAGAGTCTGGTGAGAGAAGTGAACCTCCACCCCCTTCTTTTTGGGAGATTTTCCTATAGTAGGCTTCAAGCCCAAAGTCCAGCCTGGGGGTGGGGCTATGACTGGGGGGGCGGGGAATGACAGGGCCCCTCACTCCCCCTTTTTGCCTTTAGGAACACCCCTCAGCATCAAGTGTGGGAGGAAATGCTTGAAATGCAACAGAAAAAGTTAATAGCTACTAAACTGGGAAAGATGATGGCAAAATTAAAATGATCACCTGCTTAATGAAATGGCCACCAACTGTTCCTGGTGCAACAGGCCACAGCTATGAACGCTATTCTTGTATATTTAAACAATATCGAATGCATTTACAGAGTATTTTAATATTTGAAGTGTGAGGGCCTTTTAAAGTAGGAGGGTGGAGGGGCGCCAGAGGTTTGTAAAAAAATTCTGGAAAATGCACCCCCCAGGGACCCCAATTTGGTTTCTTCACTCTTTTGGGTCCCCCATTGCATTATTCACCAACTACAAACCTGGTTGCCTAGCAACGGGAACCTGATCCCCCCCCCAGCAAGGAAGAGGCCAGGAGATTACATCTGGGGGTGGGACAGCAGAGGGGGGACTTCAGCCCTCCCCCAGGGGCAAGCCTATTTAGCAGAGGGTCTGGCTTTCCTGCAAAGTATGACTTCAACCCCCTGCCCCAACTGAAATCACGGACCGCAAGCTGATCTCTGGCCTCCTGGTTGCCAAGACATGGTGCCTGGATGCCCCCTCTCTCTCCAAGGGTTCCTAGTGGTTGGGGCCTGAGAGCTTCCAGTTCCAATTTCAACTCAGTGACCTTGGACAAGTCTTTTTTGCCACTTCTTGTAGCCTCAGTTTCCCCATCCAGAAAATGGGGATAAGAATACTACTTACGCCCTGGCTGGTTTTGCTTAGTGGTTGGAGCGTCGGCCCGCGGACCAGAAAGACCCGGGTTTGGTTCCCATTAAGGGCATGTACCTCGGTTGCAGCTTGTCCCCAGCCCCAGTTGGGGTTGTGAGGGTGGCAACCACTCATGTCTCTCTCATGTTGATGTTTCTCTCTCTCTTCCTCCCTCTCTCCCTCCTGCTCTATCTGAAGATAAATGCAAAAATGTCCTCGGGTGAGGATTTAAAAAAAAGAGAGCGAGAATACTACTTACCTCCTAGGATCTTTGGGAGCATTAAATGAATTATATAGGTAAAGCATTTCACAGTACCTAGCACATGATATGCTCTGGATAATGGTTGGGTGATTTTATTCTCAGTTGGAATGTCAATTCAGCAAAGAATCAACTACAATGTCTCAAGATCAGGGAGTGGTAGGGGGAGGTGGCTGTGGTAGCCTATTGGAAGACCCACAGAGCATTTAGAGCACTATATATAGTAAGTGCTAAATATGTGCTGACATTATAGCTGCATGGTCTGGCCAGAGAAGATCTGGGAGGCCCTGCCTGAGTTTGGGTAATGAGTCTAATAGTGTTAGTGCTCAAATTAATAAATGTTTGAGGGCTTGCTCTGTGCATGCCCTGGGTTAAGTGTCCCGAACAACAGGCAGATAGACATACACTTCTAGATACTCGCCTATGAAGCATCTACACATAGTTGGCGCTCAATGCCTGTCCCTGATGATAGGCTAAGGCAGTGATGACTGTCGCCTAAGCACCCTGCAGTGCCACAGTCAGTTTCCAGTTTCCAGAGTGAGCCCAATGGGGTTAGGGGTGTCCCTGGAGGCTGTGAAGTGAGATCCTGGGATGCTGCAAGGACAACGATGAGAGTATTTCAAGTTAAACCTTAAATAGCAAATCCTCCTCCCCTCCTTTCAGCTCAGAGTCCAGGGCTAAGCATCATGACTTGATGACCCTTGCCCGGGGTGTGTATCTATGTGTGTTTGGGGGTGGGTTGGCAGGTAGAGAAGGCAGCTCTGGAGTTACCATGGCTATGGTGAGTGTTCACAGTGGTGGGATGGACACTTCTCTCCCCAGACTCCCTCACACTCCAGAGCTTAAGGAATCTTGGGTAGAGGCCAAAGTTCAGAGAGGGTGTAGAATTGGAAAGAGACACAGCAGTTGGAGGTCTGACAGTGTTCGAGAATTTCTGTAGGACGGACTGGAAATGGTTATTATAACTAATCGTAAGCATTATTAATCATGGAAATTATTAAAGGTATTATGAATAATAAACTATGCTAATTTTTTGGAGTACTATGTCCTTAGTTTTTTCCTGTATGGATAATTCCTTGGTAGGGCATCTGTCTGCAAGGTCAGAGTCAAGATATTCAGGTCCATTTTACAGATGAGAAAACTGAGGCTCAGAGAGGTGATATCAGCCTTGGGAAGGGTTTTAGCTCAACCTGTCATGGTCTCTGCCTCTGCCTCCATGCAGGATCCTACCCTTTGCCACGACTCCTCCCAGAGGCAAAGGGGAAATAGAGGAAATGCTGGGCTCTAGTTGATTTCTAAGCAGCTCAGTAACCTCGGCATAGAGAGGGGCATTCAAGACCTGCCGGTGTGGTTCAGTGGTTGAGCGCTCACCCATGCACTGAGGGGTCACCAGTGCAATTCCTCTTCACAGCACATGTCCAGGTTGTGGGCCAAATCCCCAGTGGGAGGCATGCAGGAGGTAGCCAGTCGATGCTCTCTCTCATCTATGTTTCTATCTCTCTCTCTCTCCCTTCCTCTCTCTCTAAAAATCAATAAAGAAAAAAAATTTTTAAAGAGAGAGAGAGAGCCCTAGCCAGTTTGGCCTGCGGTCCAGAGAGACCCAGGTTCAGTTCCCGCTAAGGGCACGTACCTCGGTTGCAGTTTGTCCCCGGCCCTGGTTGGTCATGCGGGTGGCAGCCACCCGATGTGTCCCTTTCACGTCGATGTTTCTCTCTCTCTCTCTTCCTCTCTCTCCCTCTCACTCTACCTGAAGAAAAAATGGAATAACGTCCTCGGGTGAGGATTCAAAAAGGGAGAGAGGGTGGGGGACCAGCCTGCTGAGGGTGGGGCCCTGGAAGACCCCCTCTGAAACACCCCCACCCCACCCGCCCTCTCCCCACAGGCCCATGGCTGAGAGCTCCCTCTACCGGCAGCGACTGGAGGTAATCGCGGTAAGTGATGCCCTCCGGGTGCGCCCCGCCCAGCGCCCTGAGTAACCCCAGCCTTAGCCTCCTTCTCGCCTCCCTTCCATCCGGGGAGCTGGTCTAACGCTAGGAAGTGAGGGAGCAGCACCTTCAGCTCCAGCCCTGTCTGGGGCGCCCCATCTAAATCTTCAGGCCCCTCTGCTCCCCAGTTCCTCTGTCTGGTCACCACCCCCCCCAAAATAGTGAGGCTGCAGACCTGGCACTTCCAGAATCTGCATCATCCGATGCTCCATTATTGAACCCGGATCTCCCAAACATCCCATGTGTAAACCCTATTTCTCAGATCCCCGCCATCTCACTAACATCTATCTCTCTGATCCCTCATCTCTCTGAACCCCCATATCTAAATCTTCATCTTTCTGTACTACATCTCTGAGCCCCCATCATTCTGACCCCTATGTCTGTACCTCATTTCTCAGTCCCCCACCTCATTAACTGACTCCGATCTCTCTGTCCCCCACCTCTACACCCCATCTCTCTGTCCCCCACTTCTGCATCTCCATCTCTGTGGACCCCATCTCCACAGCTCAGTCTCGTGGAACCCCCATGTCGGCCGGCAACTCCCTCCCATCCTGGGGAGCTGGCCTAGCTCTGAAGTGGAGGAGCAGCACATTCAGCTCCTGCCCTGCCTGGGGCGCTCCACCTAGATCCTCAGGCCCCTTCACTCCCCAGTTCCTCTGTCTGGTCACCACTCCTCCAGACCCTCATCTCATTAGCTTTCTTCCTTTGATCCCCTTATCTGGACCCCCATCTCTGAACCCCATATCTTGGACCCCCACAGTTCTGTCTCCTCTCTAGATTCCCATTCCAAGTTTCGCCCCACCCCCCATCCACAGCCCCCCATTCCTTGAGGGCCAGGCCTCTGCAGAACCCAGGGCGCGGCAGGCCCCGCCCCCGCCCGCCCCGCCCCCACCGCTGCTGAGTCAGCGCCTCCGCAGCCCCCTCCCCTCCCGGGCCCCGACGTGCGCCCAGCGGTGCGCCTAGCCGCCCTGCAGCCCCGGGAACCCCCACTAATCCGGCGGAGGAGAGAGGGCGGAAGGGAAGGAGGTGGCCCCACCCGGCCGCTAGGCAGCTCCGTCCTCTGTGCGCAGGAGAAGCGGCGGCTGCAGGAAGAGATCCGTGTGGCTCGCGGGGAGCTGGAGGAGGAGAAATTCCGCGTGGAGCGGCTCAAGGTTTGTGGCGAGTGGGGGCGCCTGCCTAGCTTGGGCCACGAAGGGGGAGGGGGGTGCCTGTGAGAGCCGGTTCGCAGGACCATAGGAGCCTCTGTCTAATATGAGGGGAGAAGTTGGGGGCACTGGTTCCAGCTTTGGGGGCGGCTGTCTTTCCCTGTATGTGAGAATGGGTGATGGTGGTGATGGGGACATTCGTAACACCTTTGGGAAGAGTATGGGGACAGTGAAGGGTTTTTCCAACTTTGAGGTAGGGAGGGGCCAAGAGAGACATTGATTTCACCTTTGGGGATGTCTGTCCCATTCTGGAAGGGTTGATGAGGAGGATGAGTGCTTTTTCTATCCTGGAGAAGCTATGGGCTGGTAATGGGGTGTCTGTCCCACTAGCAGTGTTGAGCAATGGGGGTTTATATCCCAGTCTGAGGGAGAACTATCTGTCCCATCTGGGTGATTGTGGAGCTGTGAGAAATCTGCCCAACCTGGGGAGGGCGGACCCTGCATAGGGCAGGGAAGTCCATATGCCCAGCTGGAACCCCTTTCCATGCCCAGAGAAAGTCTCTTCGGGAGCGGTGGCTAATGGACGGAGCTGAGGGACCTGAGGGACCAGAGGACGCCAACTTGCAGGATACCCAGTCTGCCGAGGGCCAGGCGCAGGCCCGCATCCGGAACCTGGAAGACAGCTTGTTCACGTGAGTGGGGTTCCTGCTTGCTGCCTTGGCCCCAGCCTGGCTAGGCCAGGACCCTGGGCCCACTCCCAGGAGGTGGCAGATTGAGACTGGGGGGGTGTCCATTGAGCCTGGGGGCTCAGGTCCCAGCAGCCCCCCTTTCTTCCAGACTCCAGTCTCAGCTGCAACTGTTGCAAAGTGCATCCACAGGTGCCCAGCACAAGCCCTCTGGCAGGCCTGCCTGGCGCAGACAGGTGAGGAGGAACAGATAGTTGGGGAGGGGGTGTGGCCACAGGGCCCAAGCAGAACCTCTGCAAGTAGTTTAGATGCTTGGTCCTCTACTACTTTTTTGCTCAGTGGTCTTGGGCAAGTCACTTTCCTTACTCAAGCCTCAGTTTCCTTGTCTCTGAAAAGAGACTATCAGCACACACCTGGAAGAGGTGTAAAGGAGGGTCCACAAGTTCACAGCTTAGCACTAGGAACAGACACAATGGAATGTTTTGTTATATAGTTGCTAGTATGGTCAGAATGAGGAAGGAGAGCAGATGTGGAGGGTGCTTGTGGAATTCAGCCTCAAAGGTGGGAACAGATCACCATTAGATGCTCTTGGGATCTGAGGCATCTATACAGGTTTGGGGGTTTTTGTTTGTCTTGTTGATAATACCTTTATTAAGATAAAATCCACATGCCATACACAGGATTTTGAAAACCAGGGTACTGCCCTGGCCAGTTTGGCTCAGCGGTTAGCGCGTCGGCCTGCGGTCCGGAGAGACCCGGGTTCGGTTCCCGCTAAGGGCACGTACTTCGGTTGCAGTTTGTCCCTGGCCCTGGTTGGTCGTGCGGGTGGCAGCCACTCGATGTGTCCCTTCACGTCGATGTTTCTCTCTCTCTCTCCCTCCCACTCTATCTGTACAAAAAATGGAAAAATATCCTCGGGTGAGGATAAAAAAAAAAAAGAAAACCAGGGTACTTTACAGTAAATTCTGGCTGTTTGGGTGGTCCCTGAAGTCCAAAGATGCCAACAAACTTGTGCCTGGCCACAATGAGTTGTGGGTTTTCCACAGTCTCCACCTCTCCCTAATATCTTCCCTTAGTTCCCAGATGTCTTTCACAGGACAGAGGAAGAGGAGACCTGTTAATTGGCATGGGAAGCACTTGCTGGGTTTTTGGTATAAGCCAGAACTTTCTTGCCAGAGATGCACAAGGCATGTTTTCTGGCTCAAGGGAGCTCCCAGTCCAGATGAGGAGATGGGGTGCAAAGAGTCCGTGAGTGGGAAGCCCTGGGCATGAGAGAGCTCAGAGGAAGCACCTTAGTGATGGTGAGGATTTAGGAAAGGTTTCCTGGAGGCAGTAACTATGCTGAATCTGGGTGGGAGCCAGGCAGGAGGGGAGAGGGAATTCCAGGCAGAGGACAGCCTCTGTAAAAGTATGAACGCTGGAAAGAGGCGATTAGGATCAGAGAACTGTGAGGAGATCCATGGAGCTAGGCCTAGGTGGCCTGTATGGCTGTGCCCAGTTTCCCTCCCTCAGGCCATCTTCTTCTGCCTCCTATACTGCATTCCAGCCATACTGACCCTCTTTTCTGTTCTTTGCCTAGCTTATTGCAGCCTCAGGGCCTTTGTATTTGCTGTCCTGTCTAACCCTTTCCTACCTCTTAAAAAAATTGTTTTTTCTGTATTGATTTTAGAGAAAGAGAGAGCAAGGGAGAAGGGGAGAGATAGAAACATCAATGAGAGAGAACGTGCATGCCCTACACTGGGGATTTGGCCCACAACCTGGGCATGTGCCCTGACTGGGAATCAAACTGACAACCTCTTGGTGCATGGGTCGATGCTCAACCACTGAGTGACACCGGCTGGGCAACCCTTTCCCATCTCTTCACTCAAGACTGGCTTCTCATCTTTCAGTTCTCTGTTCAATGTCACCTCCTTCTAGAGGCCCTCCTGCATCTTATATCTAAAGGAGGGACCCTCACCCTGGCCAGGTTGGCTCAGCAGTTGGAGTGTCGGCCTGCGGACTAGAGAGTCCCAGGTTTGGTTCCTGCTAGGGGCACATACAAAAAAAAAAAAAAAAGGCACCCCATCACCTCTTAGGCACTCCTTAATCTCTCATCCTGCTTTTATTTTTTCTGCCATAGTCCTTTCACTCCCTGATATTATATATTTATTTATTTATATTTATGATCTGACTACTCCCATTGGCATGTAATTTTTTTCCCACTTAAGTCACTGTCTCTTCAACAGTGACATCACTGGCAAGCCAGGCTGTTCTGGGTCACACAGTTGAAGGACCAGGCATGCTAGGGCAGGGCCATGTGGGCAGCTGGAAATACATCACCAGCCCTGGGGCCAACCCCCATAAGTAGCCAAAGCCCCTGGAAGATGACTGGCCCCTTAGGTGCCTTGGAAACCAGAGGAGAGGTCATCAAAGTGCCCACCACTTTGGTTCAAGTACCTCATTTTACAAATAGGAAAACAAGAGGGCCAGAGAGGATAGTGCCTCTCCCAGGGTTACATAGCAAGTGAGGGACAGATTCAGGGAAGGACTCATCCCATCTTCCAGCACAGTGCTCTACCCTCCAAGCATGTTTGGAATATATGTTCTAATAACAAAAGGCATAAGTGTCCCTTATGGTAAGGTAACCTCAGTAGCTGGCAATATAGTAGGTCCCCAATAGAGTATTAGCTGCATGACACAGTATTAAGCATCTATTATGTGCAAGGCACTGGAGCAGAGGGTAATAAGGTGAGGAAGGCTGAGGTGCAGTAGAGGGTTTGATCCTGAAGGTAATAGGGAGCCATTGAGGGTGTTTGAGCAGGGGAGGGGTACTGGCATGCAGGAGGCTGGAAGTGAAGACATGGGCTGGCTTGACCTTGTCTCTGTCATTCCTGTAGAGTCATCGTCCACTCTCCCAGCCCACCGTGGAGGCAGGTACTACAGGTGGGTGTTTATGTCCCTAGGCCTGGGGATCGCAAGAAGAGGGGCCTGAATCTGGGTAGCCTGAATCTCATCCTATCTCCCTCCCTCTCTCCTATCCTCCTGACTTTCCCAGACCAGACTGATCTGAACAAGAGAGCCTCCTTGCCAGCCGAACCAGTGGACACATCTCTGGAGTCCCCATCTGAGCCCAGAGATGAAGCTGTTGGGGTTCTGGCAGCCCCGAGGCATGTCCCTGGGGCAGCAGGGGCCTCCTCAGAAGCCAATGGCCCCTGCCTCCGACCCAGCCCTACTCCAGAGCAGGAGCAGGGTCAGGGGGTGACAGCATCTGATGGGGGTGGGGGTGAGGCCAAAGGAGGGGGTGTGGTGAAGGTGGTGTGGGAGGGGCTGAGGGCCACAGAGGACTGTGCCAGGGGGGCCACAGGCCCAGAGCTGGAGGCTAAAGTGGAGGAGATGGTTCTGGAAGCCATTGGGGACAGGCTGGAAGCCAACCGTCCAGAACTTCCATCCTGGGTGAAGGAGGACAGGGGCGTCGTGGAGGTGGTCTGGGAAGGGGTGGGAGGCACAGAGGGCAGTGACTCAGAGGCTGCAGGAGAGGTGGACAGGGGCCCGCAGACTGCACAGACCAGCCCACTGAGGCTCCAGGAGAGACTAGAGGGAACAGCTTCTGTAGAAGGGGAAGGGGGCCCCAGGGGCAGCCCTGATGGCTTCAGGCAAGGGGGCTCTGGAGGAGAGGAGGGATCCTTCATTTGGGTGGAGAGAGTGACCCTCAGTGAGGAATGGGAGGAACTGCTGGTGGAGGGGTTGGAAGGGCGGAGGGCACTGGGGAAGGAGGAAGGAGATGAGAGTCCTCTGGGGGTGAAGAGGTTGGGAGGGGCAGAAACCTGGGAAGCGGAGAGGAGACAGGCAGAGGAATCGGTGGACACATTGAAGAAAGGAAATGAGGAAAAGGCAGAGGAAAAAGGAGGGGCAAAGTGGGAAGGGGTGGAGACGTCGCTGATGGTGGAGAGGAAAGGAAGGGAGGACCCTTTGGAGCCAGAGAGAAGAGGTGGTGAAGGAAAGGTAGAGACAGAGAGGAAGGGCGGTGAGGAACCATTGTCAGCAGAAAGCAAGGAAACAGAAGGACCTTTGAGGGCAGAGAGGAAAAGAGGTGAGGAGCCATTGGCAGTAGAGCAGAGTGGAGGTGAGGGAAAGCTGGAGCTAGGGAAGGAAGTTGAGGAACCATTGGGAGTAGAATGCAAGGCAACTGAGGGACCACTGAGGGCAGAGAAGGAGAGAGGTGAGGAAAAGCTCAGGGAGGAGGAGAAGGAAGTTGAGGAACCATTGGTTGTAGAGAAGAAAGAAGAAGAAAAGCTAGAGGCGATAGAAGAACCACTGATGACAGAGAGAAAGGAGGGTGAAGGATCACCAACAGTAGAGAGAACAGGAGATGAGGAGCCATTGGATGCAGAGAAAAAAGGAAATGAGGAATCAATGACAGCAGAGAGAACAGGAGGTGAGGAGCCATTGCAGGCAGAGAAGACCCAAGAGATCAAGGAAGATGTAAATCCAGAAGAGCAGGACAAGTCAGGAAAAGGAAATGAATGTCAGGCAGAAGAGGTGAGTGAAGCAGGGGCTCCCCTGGGGGCCAAGGAAGAGCTAAGGCCAGAGGAGGAAGGACCACAGAAGCCCCAGGAGAAGCAGGAAGGCTCCCTGGAGGAGGAAGCAGTGAAGCCCCAAACCCCTGCTGAGGGCCAGGACCCCTCACAGGATGCCACCCCCCTCCTGGCAGAGACCCCAGCTCCTGAGCAGCCCACCGAGTGCCAGCCACTGCTTCCAGTGGAGGGGCCCAGGGCCAACCCCAGTGCCCGCCCTGTGCCCACCTATGCACCTGCCCAGCAGCCCGAGCCATCTGCTCCTCCTGAGGGTGAAGAAGCAAGTGGTCCTAAGCAAAAAACGTGCCAGTGTTGTGCGGTGATGTGAGTCTATGCCCTCCACCCCACACCTCGCTCCTCTCACAGCTACCTCGGCCTCCTGGCATCCAGCAGAGGGTCCCAGGCGCAGACAGGGCATATGGGACTGGCTGTGGCATCTGGGAGCCTGCTGGTCCACACATCCACCTCCACCTGGGCTTCCAGACCCCTTGCCCACTGCCTGTGACCCTGGCCCCCTTCTCTGACTAAGCCTTTATACTTGAAAATAAAATGTTAAAGCACTGGGACAGTTTGAATATGGGTGTTTTTGGCACAGAACCACCTTGCCATCTCCTGGTGGGAAACTGAGGGCTTCACTTGGCTAGAATCAAAAGATGATGAGTCAGTGAATGTGTAGGTGCAGCTGCTGTAACAAAAGATCTCAAGCTACAGTAGCTATAAAAGTATAAGTTTATTTCTCTGGGTGGCTCTGATCTATGAAGTCACTTGGGGATTCAAGTTCCTTTCCATTTCTTGTTCCCACCCTTCCCTTGGGTCTGGCTAGAGCTAAATTATGGGCACACTGACATTTTTCCAGCTCATGGAAAAGGGAAGAGAATATGAGGGAGCCCCATCCAGCACCAGCTTTGGCACAAGTCAATTCTACTCACATTACACTGGTGAGAACTCCATACATGGCCACACCTAGCTGCAAGGGAGGCTGGGAGTGCACCCAGTTACAGTTCTGTTACAGCAGCAGGACAGATTTGGGGAGGTGACTGCCACTCTCGATTTTGTGTATTTTCCTTTGTTCCCTCATCTATCCATACATTCCCTATATGGCCAGGCCCTTCTCTGTAGGAGTCTTTCAATCTCAGCTCTTTCTGGCTGGGTATCCTCAGGCAAGTGGCTCAGTCTCCCTGAGTCTGTCTTCAGCTGTCAAATAAGCACTCCTCTCCTGGCCTGGAATCAGTTCAGGCCAAAACCTGGGCCCTGAGGACAGGGGCCCCACAAGGCCCAGCTCCTCAGGTGTGGGCAGGAAGTGTTTCTCATACCCAGAATCAAGCCGGGGGGAGGTCTGGAGGGGTTCTGTAACTGGTAGCAGCTCCATCTCCTCCACTTCCAGGATAGGCAAGTCCCCTGGGGGCTGGGCCTGGGGTACCTCCTGGGAAGAGAAGAGGCTGAGATTATGACCCCATTCCCCCTCAATGTTCCCACCTACTTCCCACTGTCCCAGCATTCCCCAACCCCCTGGAGGTTCCTGACAAGCCGGTCTTTTTGCTCACCTCTACATGGGGCGGGCTAGAATTACTGTTGGCAGGATCGGGGACCTTCTCCCAGACCCAATGGGGCAGTACCTTGTACCATAGGTGGAGGCACCTGGCAAGAAGGTAAGAGTCAGGGAAGGGAATCCAGGTGGCTGAATACCCATGCCCAGGTTGCAGGGTCCAGGAATGTCAAAGAACCCTGGGCTGTCCCCTCACTCTGGAAGTTCAGCTATTGCCCAGCTGCCCTTCCCACTGGGCAGAGATCCACATGTCTGATTGCCTCACCTTCTAGAAGTGGCTAGGCTCATGCAACAGCCCATCAGGATCAAGCCCCACAGGAGAAGGATACCTGACAGAATGTCCAACTTTAGGGTATTATCTAGGGGAGAGGGGCAGAAGACAGTTAGCACCAGGAGGGGGAAGGGGTCAGTTAAGACTTATTGATGTGCCGGGCTTGGGTGAGAGAGGCAGATAAGTGGTCAGGGCTTTTGAAAATGAGTAGGGGCAATGGGTGGGGAAGATCCTGGGGTGGGAGTGGGGCTTGTGAACATAGCAATCATCAGTGAGAGGTCAAGGTCAGGGGTGGGTAAAATGGTCAGAGACACACATTGCCTGATAACCCACAGCAGTATTTAGCAGAATCAAAATGCATCATCAGAAATGACCCCCACCAAAATCAAAAGACTGCCCGGTCACTGAAGCCCAGAGAATCATTCCATAGCCTCTTCAAATGGAGCAGGCCCCCTACTATGGCTGTGCCACCCCAGCCCCTACCTGGTAGATGAAGCCAGAGGCTGGGACCAGGTGGGCCCTGTCCTGCTATTGTGGACGCCATCATCCACAGCTCACAGGGACTCCAGGGAAGGTTGGGCAGGGTGATTTTCTGGACGCTGCCACTCACTGAAGGACAAACCCAGAAAGATTGGGGAGGCAGTCAAGTCCTACCTCAGGACCTTTGTATGTGCTTTCTCTTTGTCTGCAACACTCTCCCCCAGACATCCACAGGACTCTCTTCTTCAGGTCTTTGCACAATTGTTGCCTCCTCAAGGAGGACTTCCCTCACCCCAGCATATATAAAATTGCACCTCCTTCACAATCCATCTTCCCTGCTTCATTCTCTACCCAGCACTTCTCACCATCTGACACACTGGTTAGATATTATTTATTTTATCTATGCCTGTGTGTCCTCTATTAGAAAGTTAGCCCCTCAAGGGCCATATTCCCAGCACCTGGATCAGCCTGGCATGTAGAAAGCACTAAAAATGACAGCGACTTGAATAAACAAAAACAAATGAGTATCATATCACTCATTTGCACAGAACCCAGTAGAGAGAGACCCCTTAGACCCAGAAGAGATATTTGTACCTGCCAGAGCTTTTTGTTTACTTTTTTACTGAATTGCTCTTTTTTGTTTAAAAGCCAAAAGAAGTAGCTTTTTGGTTTATTATAGGATTATAGGAAACATGAACAGGGATCAAGATATATTACCAAAGAAAGATGTCCAAGCAAAGTCATCAGGTAAAAAAAAGAAAGTTGCAAAACATCACGGTCATAAGGCTCATGGGCCAAACTATGGCCTATAACATGTCCTGTTTTATGTTAAAAAGTAGGCTTTATCACCTGGCCAGTGTGGCTCAGTGGATTGAGTGTCATTCCATGGACTGAGAGGTCCCGGATCGATTCCCAGTCAGGGTACATGCCCTGGGTTGCAGGCTCCATCCCCAGTAGGGGGCATGCAGGAGGCAGCTCATGGCGTATCTCTCACATCTATGTTTCTATTTCTCTCTCCCCCTTCCTCTCTCTCTAAAAAAAATCAATAAAAACATATTAAAAATAGACTTTATTAATTAAGGACAAATATGAAGTACTGATGTATTTAGGGGTGAAATTACACCAAAGACTCTGGGGAAAAATGTGTAGGGGGTAAATTGAAACAAGGTTGGCAAAATGTAGGTAACTACTGAAGCTGGGTGCTGGACACACCAGGGTTTGTTATATTCTCCCTACTTTTACATGTGCTTGAAATTTTAATAAAATTTTTAAAAAGTTAAAAATCTTCAAAAACCAACTCCTATCTGTTAACATACACATAGAAAAACCTGGGAGCTGTGTTGTCAGTATCTGTGAAATGATGAAAATGTTGATATTCTTGATGATATTGTATCAGATTTTGTAACAAGCAGAGATAGTTTTTGTAATTAGAAAAAAAGGGGGGGATATTAAATATATTTTTTAAAGGAATTTGTGCCCAGAATAAAAATTTAGCCAATACTCAAAAGTATGAAAAAGAAATAAAAATCATACATAATCCTACAATCCTGTTGACATTGAGGGAAATTTATTTTCATATTTCTGCTTCTGCTTTGCTCAATGCTGGTTTTATTTTACAAAAATGGAACCATCCCAGAGTTTTAAATCTTTTTATCTTAATAAAATATGACAGGCATCTTTCAATGTCAATAAATATAGATTGGAGTCTTTATTTTTAATGGCCAGATGACAGTCCATTACATTGAGAGCCACCAGGATTATTGTCCACTAGGGAATTGATGACATCATGTGTTCTCCCAAGGGCTGAGAAGGAACCAAAGGGGCTCATCTGAGGACAAGAGGTGAGGCAGACTGATGGGTGGGTCTTGTGGGGGCTGGGAGCAGGGGGCAGGAGGCAGAAAAACTCACCATTCATGCAGACAGAAGGCCTGGTCCCACTCTGTGCACACAAAGTGTAGTGGGTGAGATGGCCCCGAAGTTGGTGCCTTGGGACTTCTCCCCACGCTATGGTGGGGGTTCCTGGGGGGACATCCTGGAGTCGCCAAAGCGCTGGCCCCACTAAAGGTGCTGGGGAGAAAGCCAATTAGTCAAGGTCTGCCAGGGTTCCAGGACCCTCCATCCTCCAGCCCCAACGCTTACCTAGCTCCTCTCTGAACCTCCAGACTGAGGGGGCAGGATACAAGCCCTCTGGAGAGACCGCAGTCACTGTGATTCGGTAGGGCACCCCTCCTTCAAAATTCCCTGTTGGGGAGGGGGGAGGAGCAAAGACCAGTTTGAGTTGGCTCCTCCTTCCCCTAATTTCCTACATAATAGGAGCCTTCTTTTGGGTCTCCAGAAGGACATGCTGAAATCAAGACCTGGCTGTAAGTCATTTATCTGGTAAGTAACCCCAGAAAACTCCCAGAGGGCCGTAGGGAAGCAAAACAGAGAAGGAAAAGCAGCCAGTAAACTGCATTAAAAAAAAAGTCCCCGGTGTGGGTAATGGAGGTTCACTCTCGTTGGTGACCTTTGGGAGGCAGCAGAGAGCAGTGCCTGAGACCGATTCCAGGCTCAAGGAAGGAGCTGGGGTATTTATCCATCCTTATTTCTCAATGGTCAGGGCTGAACCTGAAGCATCTAAACCCCTGCACTTCTAGCCTTCTGCCCAGGCAGGCAAAATGATTCAGGGACCAGAAACAGATCTCAGGCCAGGAAATGCTGGAAGTTGGGATGGGGGGCCTGACACCACCCATCACGGATAAGTGAGGTTCCTGAAGTCCCTCCTCAAAACTACTACTGCTGCATGGCCTTTCCCAACTGGGAATTTTCCAGAATTGGGGCTCCTCTTCTTTTGTCCATATCTATTTATGGGCCTCAGGACTCTGTCCTACATTTCTCATTCAATACCAAGTTCTTAACCACAAGGAAGGCCTCTCCAATGTCAAGCTCAGGGTCAGAATGCATTGCTGAGCCCAGGATCTGAGCATTTGACAGTCTCCTGCACAACCCCACTTGGGTAAGCCTCTTGGATGTAAACGTGTCAAATGGGTCCCCAAAATTCTGCTCCAAGACTTCCCAACCAGAACCTGCTTGCTTCTCTCCCCTCCTCAGTCTCCATCTGGTCCAGCCCTCATTATCTCTGGCCTAAACCTATACAGTTCCTTCTCTCAGCTTCCAGGACCCCCTCCTCCCAACTCAGTCTGTTCCTCCCTCCACATCATTCAGAAGATGCCTGTGAACACCTGAGTCAGGTCCCTCCTCTGTTCAAAATCTTCTGTGGCTCCCACCTCACTCAGAATAAAAGGCCAAGTAAAGTCCTCCCTGTGGTCCATAAGACCCTGCTCACTCTGCCCCCATTACTTTCCTGCTTTCATCTCCTCTCACTCTCTCCCTCACTCATTCCACTCCTGCCATACTGGCCTTCTTACTGAGTCTAACACATCGAATACATTCCTGCCTCAGGACCTTTGCACTATCTGTTTCCTCTTTTTTTCTCAGACGTCCTTACAGCTCCCGTTCTCACCTCCTTTAGGCCTTAGCTCAAATGCCACTTTCCCAAAGAGGCCTTTCCTAACCTTTCTTTCTAAAACAGCGACTCTCCCTCCTTACCCTTACACTGATTTATTTTCCCCCAATTACATTATAAGTACTTGCTTTTGTTTCATTGGCTGCCCACCCCATAAGAATGTTGCTGAGAAGGGAGTGGAGTGATGGCTCGGGGTTTAGCTTCAGGAGTGGACTATGTCATTTAAATCCTGGTTTCTACCACCTACTTGCTGTGAAGCCTCAGGCAAGTTGCTTAATCATCCTGGGCCTTTCTTGTCATCCGTAAATCTAGCATGACAATAGCAGAAACCTATTTTATAAGGAAGTTTAAATGTTTAATGCTTATGGTAAATACCAATAGACATCAGCTGCCATCACTGTGTACCGGTGTCTAGGACAGAAGCTGGCACACAGTGGGTGGTCAATGAATTAATGATACTTAAACAAAACACTCTTTCCTGCACACCCACCCAGCAGTCTGCTCTCCACCAGCGGGGAGGGGAGCCCAGGTGTACCAGAGCCTCACCTGGCAACAGAGCACTGAGGTTCCCAGGGGGAAGCCGGACCCATTTGAGGTTCTCCAGGGGCGCCCCGTCTTGAGCCCAGTCCACTACATGCTCCTGCGGCTCCCCGGACCCCTGTTGCCAAGTCACCAGCAGCTCCGTGCTCCCAGCAATGCTGCTGACCACCACGCCATGGGGGGCAGAGTCTGAACCTAAAGGGCAAGAAGGAGAAGTCTCATCTGCCCACGCAGGAGGCCCCCTCCTGAGCACTTCCGGGGCACTTATGGAGGAAGTTCACATCCTCTTACCCAAGCAGACGAGAGAAAGGTTGGTGAGAGGCTCCCAGCTTGTGGCATTGATGGCAGACACAGCAACCCACTCTGCCTGGGTTGGGATGGAGAAGCTACAGCAGGGAGCCTCCTGGAGGATCAGCTCCTGACCTTTTACTTGGAACCAGAGTCTATAGCTCACCTGCACACAGTGCCCTGGGGCCTGTGGGATGAGGAAAAGAAGGGGTTACTATCTCCCATTTAGCAGATACTGTGTGTCTCAGTGTGATCACTTGACAAACTAGTCAGTGAAATATGTTTGTTGGCCCCACACTTTACAGATGAAGAAACAGAGTGTCTGAGGGGCTTAACACAGAGTGGGATTAGAATACGATTCCAAGGCCAGGATGAGGGTGAGGGGAGTGAGGCACCTATCTTGGGTGTAAAATATAAAGGGGAGGATGAAAACAATTCAATAATCAAGATCAATAATTATTTAATCAAAATTAATGCAAAACCCCCCATAACCAGCAAAATGTCAATATTTTAAGTAAAGACAGGATCTGACCCTGCACATGTACACAACTCTGCCTCACTCACCTCACCCTAGTTTGTATTGTACAGCTCCTCGGGATTTCATTCAGAATGCCCACTGTTGTACAGAGGAGTGGTTATATATAGTAAAGAGGATGATACCCTCCACAGGGATTTGGGGAAATGTGAGAATGTTTGGTTGCCTCAATGATTGGTATTTGATGGGCAAAAGTTAGGGATGCCACACTGTCCTAGACTAAAAAAACTGTCCATGGCCCTTATGACTTTTGAATATTTTTAAATATCCAGAACATACGGGGACTTTCTAGGCAGTTTTTATCTGTATTTTGAACAGAGAATTTTAAAAAATAATGTTATTATTTTTTTTGTTTTGTTTTTTATCCTCACCCAAGGACATTTTCCCATTTTTTGTTCAGATAGAGTGGGAGGGAGGCAAAGGAAGAGGGAAAAGGAGAGGGAGAGGGAGAGGGAGAGGGAGAGGGAGAGGGAGAGGAGAGGAGAGGGAGAGGGAGAGGGAGAGGGAGAGGGAGAGGGAGAGGGAGAGGGAGAGGGAGAGGGAGAGGGAGAGGGAGAGGGAGAGGGAGAGGGAGAGGGAGAGGAGAGGGAGGGAGAGGGAGAGGGAGAGGGAGAGGGAGCGGGAGGGAGAGGGGGAGAGGGGGAGAGGGGGAGAGGGAGAGGGAGAGAGAGGGAGAGGAGAGGGAGGGGGAGGGAGAGGGAGAGGGAGGGGCAGAGGGAGAGGAGAGGGAGGGGAGAGGGAGAGGGAGAGGGAGGGAGAGGGAGGGGGAGGGGAGAGGGAGGGGGAGGGGAGAGGGAGAAGGAGGGGAGAGGGTGAGGAGAGTAGAGGGAGAGGGAGGGGAGAGGGAGAGGGAGAGAGAGGGAGAGGAGAGGAGAGGGGAGAGGGAGAGGGAGAGGGAGAGGGAGAGGGAGAGGGAGAGGGAGAGGGAGAGGGAGAGAAACATCGACGTGAAAGTGACACATCAAGTTGTTGCCACCCGCACGACCCAACCAGGGCTGGGGACAAACTGCAACCGAGGTACCTGCCTTTAGTGGGAACCGAACCCGGGTCTCTCTGGACCGCAGGCTGACACTCTAACCACTGAGCCAAACCGACCAAGGCTGTTATTGAATTTTTTGATAGAGAGGAAGGGAGAAAGAGATAGAAATATCGATGTGAGAGAGAAACATCAATCAGCTGCCTCTTGCATGCCCCCTACTGGGGCTTGAACTCGCAACCCCGGCATGTGCCCTGACCAGGAACTGAACCAGGATCTCAGTCCATGGAACAACACTCAATCCACTGAGCCACACTGACCAGGTGAGAATTTTTGTTTTTTAATCTTCACCTGAGGATATATTTTTATTGATTTTTAGAGAGAGAGAAAGAGAGAAACATTGACGTGAGAAAGAAACATTTGTTGCCTCCTGTACGCACCCCAGGGATCAAACACACAACCTAGGTATGTGCCCTGACCAGGAATCAAACCCGCAACCTTTAGGTGCACAGGACGATACTCCAACCCAACTGAGCCAGCCAGCCAGAAAAATCAGAGAATTTTTTTTTTTTTTTTTTATCCTCACCTGAGGACATTTTTCCATTTTTTGTTCAGATAGAGTGGGAGGGAGAGAGAGGAAGAGAGAGAGAAACATCGATGTGAAGGGACACATCGAGTGGCTGCTACCCGCACAACCAACCAGGGCCGAGGACAAACTGCAACCGAGGTACGTGCCCTTAGCGGGAACCGAACCCGGGTCTCTCTGTACCGCAGGCCAACGCTCCAACCGCTGACCCAAACCGGCCAGGGCCAGAGAATTTTTTAATGTGCCTTGAATCACTTTACCCCTTTGAAGTCCCTGGAAATTGACTCTATGGCATGGCATGTGGCTGACTTTGGTAAATGTCCTGTTTGTATATTGAAAGAATGCATATTCTGAGTTTATTTTAGTGAGTCCATTAGATTATTTGTTAATCACAGGTTTATATAGTCTAAGATCTTGATTTATTTTCCATCTGTTAGTTGTAAAATTATTGAGAGCCGTGTGTTAAAATCTCTCACAAAAGCTGGGAATTCATACACTTCCCCTGTAGTTCTGTTAATGTTCATTTTCTATATTTTAAAGTCGTGTTATTAAGTAAATTCAGGATGACTCTTAGGTCATCCTGGTGAACTAAATTTTTTGCCATTACATAGAACCTGGTTTCTCCTTTATTTTCTACTGAATGTTACAATGAGAACACTGTGTTATATATATTTTTAAAACATACAATGTTCTCTCTCATTGATGTTTCTATTTCTCTCTCCCTCTCCCTTTCTCTCTCTCTAAAATCAATAAAGAAAAAAAATTAAAACAACATATGTATACATGGGTTATATTATCTAGGTATTTTATTCAGTATAGTAAAGGGGCATTACCAAGTATGTGTTGCACAACAGAGATACCGAGGCTGTAAATTTCTGTTTGAAGGCCAGTGATCTCAGCTCTGCCACTTACTAGTTGTGTGGTTAGGGCAATCTTTCTGTGTCTCATTTTTCTCATCTAAAAGTTAATTAATATAAAAAAGTGTGTAGGCTAGGCCCTGGCACGTTGTAGGGGCTCTATAAGTATTATGTAATGGTTAAAAATAATGATATTAGATTGTGTGGCTCAAGAAGATATGAGCCCTGTTGTTTTGTTCCTTGCCATATTTATTGTTAGCCAGGGCCTAGCAATACCTGGAACATAGTAGGTACTAAACACATTTGGATCATTGAGGACTCTCATACCCTTTGTCATCTCATAATGCCCTTTTGATATGAGCATCCAAGCCCTTAGCACACTGTGCTGTATTTTGTAGAGCTGAGCCTAGTTTTGGTTCCAAACCGTTGCACCTGTTGTCTCCCCTGCCTAGAACACATGCACCCATTTTCATGCCTAGCTTAGAGCTCCCAGATGGTGAAGGCATACTCTAGGCCTAGCCCTGTACCAGGACCTCTCTGAGCATTCCCTTCCTTTAGGCCTTGAAGCAACCTCAAGAGAACAGTACAGCCCTGGCTGGTTTGGCTCAGTGGTTAGAGCGTCGGCTGGCAGATCAATAAGTCGCAGGTTTGATTCCGGTCAAGGCTACATACCTTGGTTGCGGTTTGTCCCTGACCCTGGTCGGGTCATGCAGGAGGCAACCAGTCAATGTGGCTCTTTCACATCGATGTTCTGTCTCTCTCTCACTCCCTCCCACTCTATCTACTGATAAATAGGGAAAAAATAAATAAAGAGAGCAGTACAGTACCTCTATCTTCTTTACATCCTTGTTACTTGGGGGTTTCCTAACACATGCAGAGAAATCTAAATGGTCCCCACAACTTACCTTCCACAGAAGCAGGGATTTCTGTCCATTTTGTGTCCCACAGAGGTTCCCCGATATCCAGACATCTTTTGGAGCTGCCGAGGATGAGGAAGGAGCACAAATGAAAGGGACATGAATAGACAGACTTCCAGGAGAGGCAACAAAGGTATAGGGGTAAGCCAGGAGATCCTTACCAGAGGGCAGTGTCTGGAAGGACAGAATGGGACTCCACTCGCCCCACAGATTTTCTTCTTTCTCCATTCGGCAGCGGCCAGACACCTCATAGCCAGTGGCTAGCTCTAGGTCCTGGATCTCAACAGGGGCCAGGGGTATGGACTTCAGTTCTCTTTCCAGCTGGGGAGAAACAGGAGACAGCAATGAGGCTGAGGGCTGACTTGACAGTACTTGATCTTTTTTTTTTTTTCTTTATTGATTTTAGAAAGGAAGGGAGAGGGAGAGATAGAAACATTGATGAGACAGAACATCGACTGGCCACCTCCTGCATGCCCCCACTAGGGATTGGGCCTACAACATGGGTATGTGCCCTGATCAGGAATTGAACTGGTGACCTCTTGGTGCACGGATCGACGCTCAACCATTGAGCCACACCAACTGGGCAACAATACTTGATCGTATATGTCATTAGGTGGCCAACTATCCTGCTTTACCTGGGATGGAGAGGGTTTCCAAGACATTGGACTTGTGGTTTTAAAACTGGTCCCTGCCCTGGCTCATATGGTTCAGTTGGTTGGGCATTGTCCCATGTACTGAAATGTTGCAGGATTGCCCTGGCCAGTTTGGCTCAGCAGTTAGAGCATCGGCCCGTGGTCCAGAGAGACCCGGGTTCAGTTCCTACTAAGGGCATGTACCTCAGTTGCGGTTTGCCCCCGGCTCCGGTTGGGGTCGTGTGGATGGCAACCACTTGATGTGTCTCACGTCAATGTTTCTCTCTTCTCTCTCTCTCTTCCTCCCTCTCTCCCTCCCACTCTGTCTGAAGATAAATGCAAAAATGTCCTCGGGTGAAAATTAAAAAAAAAGAAAGAAAGAAAAGAAAGAAAGGTTGCAGGTTTGATTCCAGTCAAAGCACATGCACAGGTTGCAGGGGCTCAATACCCAGCAGGGGGCATGCCGGAAGTAGCTGATCGATGTTACACTCTCACATGGATATTTCTCTCTCTCTCTCTCCTTCTCCCTTCCTCTCTCTAAAAATGAATAAAGTATTCTTTAAAATAAAATAAAAAATTGGCCCTATGTGCCAAGCATGGCAGTAGGTAGTAAGTTCTATTATTATCCTCATTTTACAGGTTAGGAAAAGTGAGGTCCAGAAAGAGGAAGTGACTTGCCCAACGTCACAGAGCTGATGAGTGCAGGAGTAGAGATTTGTACCCAGGCAGTCAGATTGCAAAGTTTGCATCTCAGCATTGCTCTGAATTGCATGAATAATCACAGTAACAACTCTGCTCTATATTGTGTTTTGCATCAAAAGCTGTGTTGCCCAGGCCAGTCTGGCTTAGCGATCGGATCATTGGCCCATGGACCAAAGAATTGCAGGTTCAATTCCAGTCAAGGGCACATACCTCAGTTGAAGTTCGGGCCCTGGCTCTGGTCCGGGTTGTGAGGGAGGCAACCAGTCAATGTGTCTCTCACATCATTGTTTCTCTCTCTCTCTCCCTCTCTGTCTCTCTCTCTCTCCCTCCCTCCCTCCCACTCTATCTAAAGATAAATTGGATACCCGCAATATCCATTCTCCCTTTCTTCCTGTGGAAATACAACCTCCCAGTATTAGTTGGAAGCATGACTATGAAGAATAAAGACTAGCCCTGGCCATTTTTGCTCAGTAGTTAAAGTATCAGCCCAAGGACCAAAGGGTCAAGGGTTTGATTCCTGGTCAAGGGTGCATACTTGGGTTGCAGATTCGATCCCCAGCCCTGGCTGGGGTCATACCAGGGGCAACCAATCAATATGCAACTCTCAAATCATTTTGTTTTGTTTTTTTCTCTCTCTCCCCTCCTTCTACTCTATCAAAAATCGATGGAAAAATATCCTTGGGTGAAGATTAACAACAAAAAAGAATAAAAACTACATTTCCTAGAGGCCTTTGCAACAAGGTGAGACCATGTGACTATATTCTGGCCAATGAAATGTGAACCAAAATGGTATATACAGCTTCTGGGGTGTGCTCTTATAGTGCATAGGCAGGTCCCCCAACTCCTTCTGGGCTTCATTGCCCTGGGTTGTCTTCCACTTTCTTGCTGTGTGAGCTTGGGAAAGTTGTTTAACTTCTCTGAGGTTCAGCTTCCCTAACTATAAAATACACATTTTAAAAGCACCTGTTAGGTAGGGAGGTTGGGAGGTCTTGTCAAAATAATCCATGCTGATTGCTTAGCCTGGGACCTAATGCTTGGTAGGTCTTAGAAATGTTAGCTGCTTTTATTTTATTTATATATATATTTTTTTAGTTAAAAATTTTTTTTTTCTTTATTGATTTTGAGAGAGAGAAACATCGAGGAGAGAGAACATCGACTGGCCACCTCCTGCATGCCCCCTACTAGGGATTGGGCCCACAACCTGGGCATGTGCCCTGACTGGGAATCGAACCGGTGACCTCTTGGTGCATGGGTCGATGTTCAACCACTGAGCCACACTGGCCAGGCTCAGCTGCTTTTATTAATTCTTTTTGAGTGTTTACTGAGAACCAGGCCCTGCTCCTCATTGTATAATAACACTAAGTGCTCTCACTCTTTTTTTTTTTCTTTCTTTCAATCTTTATCCGAGGATATCTTTCCATTGATTTTTTTATAAAGAGTGGAAGGGAGAGAAGGAGAGAGAAAAACATTGATATGCGAGAGATACATTGCTTGCCTCCCACGTGACCCTGACTGGGGCTAGGGATCAGACCTGAAACCCAGGTGTGGGCCCTTGATTGGAATTGAACTCGTGATCCTTTGGTCCACAGGCAGATGCTCTAATAGCTGAGCCAAACCAGCTAGGGCAGTGTTCTTAAACTTATTCTTATTTTAAGGTTAACATAAGCTGTTTGAGTACTTTTATTTATTCACAAAAAATGTTATAAGAAGTTTACTGTTTCTCAGAAATCCCAAGTGGAATTTGGATTGAGAATGCAAGAAATTTATAGGTTTTGTTGGGGGTAGTAATTTTTTATTTGAAGAATATAATACATGTGCATGTCTTCTGTGTGGGATACAGACAGATTCCAGGGGCAGGTGAGAAATGTGCTCTAGGTGTGGTCTCTGATTTGGGGATGATGCCCCAAACAGGGCGGGGGGGGAAGCAACTTAGACACTCACCAGGGTCCAAGCCATCTGCTGGCATCTTCGGTAGTGGAACTGGCAGACCAGGACCTTATGGGGTGGCCAGGCAGGTGGGGACCATTGGATAGTGGCCTCCAGGGAGTCATCCTCTGAAAAGTCCACATCAGGGTCCAGTTGGGGGGCTTCTGGCTTCACTGAGGAGGGGAAGCCAGGGTGCATTGAGTCAGAGCTTCCAGGAACCACCAACCCCACCCAGATAGCAACCCACCCTCCTGCCTGTTACTTTGTGTCTCCAGATTCACGAATACTGGGAGCCAGAGAGGCTGGCTGGCCTTGGTCCCCCAGATAAGGAGTTCATCAGATGTGGTGAACTGTTCCCTTGGGATGGTCACCCAGCTCTGACCAGCAGGCACTGCCACAGTCCAGGTTCTGTTGGAATGACTTTGAGGAGAGATGGAGGAATTAGGGGGAAGGTGTACATAGGGCTGGGCCCAAGTCAAAGTAACAACTGCTCTATCTGGGTTCAAATCCCAGCTCTACTGTTTTAGAGCTGTATGACCTTGACAAGCAACTTAAATTCTCTGTGCCTCAGTTTCTTTATCTACAAAGTGAGGGCAATAAAAGCACCTGCTGAAAGGGCTGAATAGAGGAGGGGAACCAATGTGATAATAAATGGAATGTGTTTAGAACAACACTGAGTGCTTAATACATATGTGAACATCAGTTATTGTATTTATTGAACACCTACTATATATATGCACATTTATGTCTATGCAACTATTCAGTCAGCAAACATATATTGTGCCAGGCCCTATTGTAGAAACTGAGAATAGGACTATAATAAAGGCAGGCAAGAGTCCACTCTCTGGAGCTGGTGTTCCAGTGGGGGAAGGCAGATGAAAAACAAATATATAATTGATGATGATATAAGTGATATAAAGAAGAATCAAGCAGCATGAAGAGGATGCAGTATGGTGATGGGGTGAGGACTGACTGCTGTTTTAGGGAGAATAGTCAGAAAAGATCTCTCAGACAAGGAGATATTTAAATAAAGTCCTGAAGGACGTGAGGGTGGAGCCATGCAGTACCTGGGGAAGAATATTTTAGGAAGACAGCCAGTACAAAGACCCTGGGGTCAACTGCCTAGTGTGTTTGAAGAAGAGCGAGGAGGAGGCCTGTGTGGCTGGAGAGTGGGAGGGTGGTAAGGGCAGGGAGGTGACAAGCAGATTGTGCTGGTCCTGATGGGCCACAGGACAGAATGACTTTTACCCTGAGTGAGTAAAAATCCTGAAAGGCTGTGAGCAGAGGAGGAACATGTCCTGACTCAGGTGTTCACACATGCCCTCTGGATGCTATGGCAGAGAAGAGACTGTGGGGTTAAGGGTGGAAACCAGAGAGGAGGTGACTGCACTGTCCAGGTCAGCAATGATGGGAGCTGAGCCAGGGTGGGTGCTGAGGAAGTAGGGAATGCCGGATTCTGGATAGCACTGAAGGTGGGGTCAGCAAGGTTTGCAGATGGATCAGTGGGTGAGAGAGACAGAACTGCGGAACTTCCCAAGAACTAGATTTCAAAGGCGCAAAACAAGGCCCTCATAAAAACAAAAACAGCCCGGCCGGTGTGGCTCGGTGATTGAGTGTCAACCCATGAACCAGGAGGTCGCTGGTTCGGTTCCTGGTCGATGGAGCACATGCCCAGGTTGTGGGCCCAATCCCCAGTGGCATGCAGGAGGCAGCCAACTGATGTTCTCTCTCATCAATGTTTCTGTCTCTTTCTCTCTCCCCTTCCCTTCTTCTCTTTCTGAAATCAATAAAGAAAAAATATTTAAAAAACAAAAACACAAGTGTTGGTGAAGATGTGGAGAAATTAGAGCCCTATGCATTGCTTATACATTGGTGGAAACGTAAAAGGTTGCAGCTGCTGTAAAAAAGTTTGGTGGTTCCTCAAAACATTAAACACATGTCTGGCCGGTGTGGCTCAGTAGTTGAGTGTCAACCCATGCACCAAGAGGTCACCAGTTTGATTCCCAGTCAGGGAACATGCCCAGGTTATGGGCCAAATCCCCAGTGGGGAGCATGCAGGAGGCCACCAATCAATGTTCTCTCTCACTGATGTTTCTTTCTCTCTAAAATCAATAAAGAAAAAAAAATTTAGTTAAAAATATATATATATATATTTTTTAAAAAAGTTAAACACAGAACTGCCATATAACAGCAATTCCACTCCTAAAATATACCCAAGAGAACTGAAAACAGACTCAACAATTTGTACACACATGTTCATAGTAGCACTAGTCACAATCACCAAAAGGTGAAAACAACCCAAATGTCCATCGACAAAAAGATGAATGAACAAAATAGAATATTACTCCACCATAAAGAGGAATGAAGTCCTGATATGTGCTACAATGTGAATAAACCCTAGAAACATTATGCTCAATTAAAGAAACCAGACAAAAAGATACATTGTATATGATTCCATTGATATGAAATGTCCAGAACAGGCAAATCCACAGAGACAGAAAGAAGATTGGTGGTTGCCAGGGGCTGGAGGAGGGGGAACGGGGAGTGACTGCTATTGGAAATGGAACTTCCTTTGGGTGTAATGGAAATGTTTTGGAACTACAGTAGATAGAGATGGTGGTTGCACAATATTGTGAACATACTAAAGCCACTGAATTGTTTACTTTAAAATGGTGAATTTCATGTTATGTGAATTTCACCTTATTAAAAAAACGGGAGAGCCCTGGCCAGTTTGGCTCAGCGGTTGGAGCATAGGCCTGTGGACCGGAGAGTCCTAGGTTTGGTTCCGGCTAGGGGCACGTACCAAAAAAAAAAAAAAAAGAAAGGGAGGAGAACCTTTTCTTACTCCCCAACCCTCTACCCATGAAAACTAGGTCCCACTTCTCAAAATGAATAGTGATGATGGTTGCACATCAAGGTGAATGCACTTAATGCCACTGACCTTTCCTCTTAAAAATGGTTGAGAAAAAATGGTAAATTTTATGTGTATCTTACCACCACTAAAAAAAAAAAAAAAAGAAGCCCTGGCTGGTTTGGCTCAGCGGTTGGAGCATCGGCCTGTGGTCCAGAGCAGTTTGTTCCCGGCCCTGGTTGGGTCGTGTGGGTGGCAACCACTCGATGCGACCCTTTCCCATCGATGTTTCTCTCTCTCTCTCTCTCTCCCTCCCACTCTATCTGAACAAAAAATGGAAAAATGTCCTCGGGTGAGGACAAAAAAAAAAAAAGCCCTTGCCTATGTGGCTCAGTTGGTTGGGTGCCTGTCAATTCCAAGTCATGGCACATGCCAGAGTTGTGGGCTCGATCCCAGGGCTCAATCCCTGGTGGGGGTGTGCAGGAGGCAGCTGATTATGTTCCACTCTCACATTGATGTTTCTCTCTCTCCCTCTCTTTTCCTCTCTCTAAAAATCAATAATACATCTTTTTTTTTTTTTTTTTTTTTAAAGCCAGCCCTTAAGGCCCCTTTTATTCTTCCTTCACTTAGCCAAATTTGAAGTGACTTTGAGTTTCCAGGTGTGATTCTTCAAGAAGGAAAGGCAGTCACCTCTGGGTCTGTGGACCCTGGAAGGACCAGGTTTTCTGATTGTCTCTTTCAGCAATAGACCAGTGATCTTTTCATATGCTCAGAGTGGTTAAACTACTTGCCTAAGGCAACACAGCAATAAAAAGAGCTTATAATTATTAAGCATATTCTCAATGCCAGATGTCTCACTCACTGGACCCTCAGAACCAACCCTGGGAGGCAGGTTAATTTATTATCACCATTTGTAGTGTGTGTGTGTGTTTTCTTTATTGGTTTTAGAGAGAAAGGGAAAGAGCAAGAGAGAAACATCCATGAGCGAGAACATCAACTGGCTGCCTCCTGCATGCCCCACACTGGGGATTTGACCCACAATCTGGGCATGTGTCCTGATCAGGAATAGAACCAGTTGATGATACATGGGTCACGCTCAACCATTGAGCCACGCCAGTCAAGCTTTTTGTTCTTGTTGTTGTTAATCTTCACCGGATTCCACTGATTTTTAAATAGAATCGAACAGAGGGAGAGAGAGAGAGGAAGATCGATTGACTGCCTCCCTCATGGGCCAGGATTGAATCTGCCACCCAGGTATGTGCTCGCCTCCGGGAATTGAACCCACGACCTTTCAGTCCGTGGAGCCAAACCGGCCAGGTCTGTTATCGCCATTTGATAAAGAACCAAAGGAGTCATGGGTCATGACTGGTCCAGGGTCATGCAGCAAGGAAATGAGGGAACCTGGAATTACTGAAGGGCATGATAGTCGGAGAGGATTGTGGGGCAGGGCTCCTGGATCCTCTCAACAGGAGAAGGCGGGGACCTGAGAGGCCACCTCTCCCCAAGTCTCACGTTCCCCAAGCCACCCCACTGTACTCACTACTTCTGGCTCTGGAGGTGCAGGGTGGAGGGTGCTCCCAGGTCTCCAAGAGACTCCCATGAGCAGTTCAAGTCGCCTAAGGGTCCAACACCATAGCACTGCAGGGGCCCAGTGCTGCCTGGAAGGGTGGTGTGAGGGTCCCAAGGAAGGGGGTCAATTTCCCCAGCTCCTGCACTGCCCAGAACCTGAATTACCCCAACTTCTGAAAATCGTGGAGGGTGACGGGGTCCCTTTAGGAAGTGAGCAGCAGGAAGGGGGCGCTGGGCAACTCTAACCAGACTTTGAGCATAACTCCTCCCCTCCCTCTACCAGCCACATCCTGTTACCACCCCAAGAACCCCTACCCCACTCCAGGGCTGTGACTTCCATCCCCCACCTCCCATTCCTCACTCCTTTCTACGCCCCGTCCCTGCCCAGGGAGAAGCAGAGTGGCGTTCGGACCTCTGTCATTCACTTGGGGTTCGCCCTGGAGACTTGCGCTTTAAGGGTGAGCGCGCGGTAGTGCGCCCGACACGAACTCGCCCAGAACTCACCCTTGGCACTTGTCCAGTGGAACAGCAGCAACAGCAGAGGCAGCAGCCGGCAGGGCGCGGCCCAGGCCCCCCTCATGGCGTCCCGCGCACCCCCACAGTCTGGCCGGGCCCTCCTGGGGCCCCGCGGATGCGCCGCCGGGGCCCTTGCTCTGCGCGTCCAGCTCCTGCCCCGCCGGAGCGGCGACGGGAAGCCACCCCTCCCAGCCGCCTCCGCACCTTGCGCTGGGGTCTCCGCCCCTTCCCTGCGACGGAAAGTCCCCGGGGGAGGGGGAGTGAGGAGGCAGCCTAGGGCGTCTGGGGGAAGGACCGAGGGCTCTGCCTTGCTCCGGTGAAACTGAGCACACCCTCCCCAACAATACACACACTCCGTAGAATCCTTTGGAACTTTTATTGTTGGGTTGGAGAAGGTTTTGATCTGTCTCCCTATCAGCCTCCCACCTCAGAATATGAAAGGACCCCAGGGGTCTCAACACTAACCCTGGGGTCCACAGTCTTAGAACCCCAGCAGCTAGGGTTGGAGGGAGAGGGTCTGGAAAGCTGGAAGTGGGCAAAGGCTAGGCTGGGGCAAGGGCATCATTTGGGCTCCCTAGGAGACAGTAGCCAAAGTTGGGGCAGAAGAGTTGCAGTTTTGGCAAGGGTTTCTTCAGTGTGGCCAGTTTGGGTAGAGTAGGGGTTCCATTGCACAGGGGACAGTGTAGTCCAGACAAAGGCATGGTATTGGGCTGGGGAGAGGTCAGGAATCAGGATCACGGGCAACCATTTGGCCAAGTAGGGATATAGCTTGCTTGGGGTTAGGAGAGGCTGGTCAAAAGTCAGGGTTATTTGGGGGCACTGTGTTGGAGTCCATGGTGCCTGACCTCCATGACTTGCTGACAAATGAATGTATAAGGAGCCAAAGACAGGTACTCAGCATTTCCCCTGGTACCCCCAGCCATCATGTTCCCTGGTCTAGCAGAGCCTGCTGATTTCACTTTCGCTGCAACCCAACGTGCAGCAGTTGCTGGCGAGTTCAATCACTATATCTCTGGGTGCCTGCAGAGCCTCTGGGGTTCCCTGCCAGCTGCGTTTGCTCCTATAGAAAGCCTGGGGGGACTTGGTCAGGGCCAGCCACTCACTGGAGGCTACTGCCTCTTCCAGCTTGCTGTCTGCATCAGGTTCTGCATCTGGGAAGGCATCTCCTGCAAAAAATGAGATGAGTTAATGCTTAGAGCTCCGTTTCTGTTACACCCAGAGTCCTGGCTCCTGGTTGGTCCAACTACTTTTCTGTTCTTGTGACATGGTCTCATGGTTAAAGGTTTTGATTCCATTCAGGCCTAGGTTCCAGCTTTGATGGGCAGAATATTCAACCTCACTGAGCTTGATTTTCCTGTCTTTTTTTAAATTCTTTGTTTATGGAGGACCTGATGGTTAAGAACATATATTTGGGAGCCAGACTGATTAAGCACCAACCCACCTTCTCGAAGATATAATCCTGAACAAGTGAATTTACTTCTCTGAGTCTTGGTTTTCTTGTCTGCAAAGTGAGGAAAATAATGACTCCCACTTTCTAGGGTTTCATACAGACTAGATGAGTTCATTAATACCCATTTTAAAAAGTTTGAATTGAGTGTGGCACATGATAAGCACTCAAAATAGCACTGAGCATTTATCGAGAAAACTGTGTGCCAGACATTGTTTTAAGGGCTTTCATGGATAAAATTCTTTGCTCCTCTCAATGACCCCATGAGGTGGGTGCTGTTGTTATTACCTCATTTTCCATAGAACACACAGCTATTGAATTGTAGAGCTGTTATTTTAACCCAGGCAGTGTGTTTTCTAGGTCCACATTTATATCATCATTATCACCAACACTTATTTTTGTTAGACCCATCCCCTTTAGGAAACTAGACCCCCTACTCCCTGCTTGAGCCCAAGCTGAAGGTCCTGCCTTTCTTGGACTGTGTCCTTATCTGTTTTGATTCAGTTTTGCCACCGAGCAACCTTGTGAGATGCAGGGACTCTGCCTCCCATTTGTAGATAAAGAGGATCAGAGATGGAAAGCAACTTGATGGGAGGGTCACTCACCCACTAGGTGGAAATATCTGGCCTTGGACACACCACACCCCTTACACTATCTTCACCAAGGGGTTGGAAAGCACTTTAGTGTCAGCTTCTGAATGGTGTCCCCCTAGAGTCCTGTAAGCAGCAGCCTTGCTCAGCACAGGGCTGGGCACATAGCAGGTGCCCCAGAAATAGTACTCTCTCCTCTGACATTCAGCCGGTGGAGATGGCTTGCGACACCCATACCAGCTTTGCTGTTTTGCCAACTAGCTCAGCTTCAAGGATGGGCAGGTCTCCTCAGCTCCAAGTCATGGGCAGGGACTCACCTTTGTCCCTGCCTCTTTGGGCCTATCTCATGTCTCACATTCCCCTTTCCCCCCTCCACTACCTCCATGCCTCACCCATTGCTTCATGGGCCAGGATGTCCAACCGCCTCCATCTGGAGTTTCCGCAGGTGAAGATGATTGCCCGGATGATCTTCCAGCCGCAAATCTTCACTCTGTCCTCAGATACTTCCCTGGCTTCAGTTTCCAGCCACAATGCCCCCGCCATCACCCACACAGACAGCAACAGCAGCAGTGGGTGCTTGGCCATGTTGGACAGTGAAGCCTGGGACAAGAGAGTGGGCACAGCGAGACAGTTCTCCAGTGGTCAGTGCCTCTGCTGCCTCCTGGCCCTCCATTTATACATCCAGCCCCCCGCCCCTTGCCTGTTCTGGAGGAACCAAGTGAACTTCCTTTATCTCTTCCAGCAGTGGGGAGGCAATCCTGTTCTGCACACCCTGACCTTTCCTGTTTCCTGGACTAAGTGATAACCTTTTGCTGGGGATGGGGTGATGTGGTTTGACTCACTGTCATCTTCAACAGAGAAAGGCAAGAAGGCTCCAATTCAGCATAGACCGGGAACCTAGAACCTCACCAGATCAGAAGAGAGGGTACAGCCAGATCCCTCCCCATCTTAGGGCTGGGGTCCTGGACCTCCTCTATAATAACAATAAAAGGTCTGAGCCAGCAGGATATCACATCCACAACACAAGGCAAATGTAGAGCAAAATGGCTTTATTGCACACACCTGGGTACGGGAGGGCTGAGCCAAAAGGGGTTCATCCTCGAATAACAGTTGGGGTGTAGGTTATATACTCTACTTTTAGCTTCCAGCAGTTCCTGCTAACTACTCTGCATGGCCCATTGTCCACCCTGCGGTTGGACTGGTCTGGTATCTCATCCAGACTGTCTTGCGGATAACCTGATCATCCTTATCTGTACCCAATAGAAGGCTGAACAAAGGTCATGCAAGCAACACAATTTTTCACAGGTCCCGCCTTTTGCAAGCTTTTACCCTTATCCTTTAAAACATTACTAACCCTTCTTTTTTAAAAAATTATTATTATCATTATTATTATTTGCGTTTATCTTTAGATAGAGTGGGAGGGAGAGAAAGGAAGAGAGAGAGAGAGAAACATCGATGTGAGAGAGACATATTGACTGGTTGCCACTCACATGACCCTAACTGGGCTGGGGACAAACTGCAATCAAGGTATGTGCCCGTAGCCGGAACTGAATCCGGTCAGCAGGCCGATGCTCTAACCGCTGAGCCAAACAGGCCAGGGCATTAAATTATTTTTATTAATTTATTTTTGTTACAGATGTTTCTCCTTTTTTCTACATTGACAGCCTCCTCCCAATCTCCCTCCACCCCACCCCGTCCCCAGCTTTGTTGTTTATGTTCATTGGTTATGCGTACATGCATATAAGTTCTGTGGTTTATCTCTTCCCTTCCCCCCACCCCCTCTTCTGATGTTTGTCAGTCTGTACCCTACTTCTACGTCTGGGTCTATTTTGTTTGTCTATTTGTTTTGTTAAAACATTACTAACCCTTTCATTCCCATCTTATAATGATGATAAAAAGGAGAAAGGGGTGAAGTTTCTTTGTCTACTTCATGCAGGTGTGGGGTCATCATGGACTCCTAAAAAGAATTTGTTAGCCCTGGCGAGTTTGGCTCAGTGGTTAGAGCGTTGGCCTGCGGTCTGGAGAGACCCGGGTTCAGTTCCCGCTATGGGCATTTACTTCGGCTGCAGTTTGTCCCCGACCCTGGTTGGGTTGTGCGGGTGGCAGCCACTCGATGTGTACCTTTCACATCGATGTTTCTCTCTCTCTCCCTCTCTCTCTCTCTCTCTCTCTCCTCTCTCTGCGTCCCTATCTGAACAAAAAATGAAAAAATGTCCTCGGGTGAGGATTAAAAAAAAAAGAATTTGTTAGCCCTGGCCAGTTTGGCTCAGTGATTACAGCGTCGGCCTGCGGTCCAGAGAGACCCGGGTTTGGTTCCCGCTAAGGGCACGTTCCTAGGTTGTAGTTTGTCCCTGGCCCTGGTTGGGTCGTGTAGGAGACAGCCACTTGATGTGTCCCTTGCACGTCAATGTTTCTCTCTCTCTCGTTTCCTCTCTCTCCTTCCCACTCTATCTGAACAAAAAATGCAAAAATGTCCTCGGGTGAGGGTAAGAAAAAAATAAAATAAAATGACATTTCCTTCTGGACTAGTGGAATCTAAGTTAGTATATTTTCTCATAGTCTGTGTAAGGCGGGATAGAAAGGTTGCAGGGTTTTCATTCCTTTCCTGGATTATTTCAGACAGTTTTTCATAGTTAACCACCTTGTATGAGGCTTTTGTAAGTCCCTCAATGAGACATATTACCATATGGTCCCTGGCTTTCCTAACTGCCCCATTGTCCTGATAATTCCACCTGGGGTCCTGGCTAGGGACTGCTTTGGCCCCTACAGGGTTAGTGGGGGTCTGTCATCTCAGATTATTGGCATGGCCCTGGGCATGAGCCCAGACTCAATTTTTATCTTCTGGATTAAGGGTGGGAGAGAGAATAACATGGTTCAGCCAGTGTGGCTCAGTGAACAAGTGGTCACTGGTTCAATTACCAATCTGGACACATGCCCAGGTTGTGGGCCCGATCCCCAGTGGGGGGCATTCAGGAGGCGGCCAATCGATCTTCTCTCTCATAGAAGTTTCTATCTCTCTTCTTCTCACTTCCTCTCTCTCTAAAATCAATAAAGGAAAAAAAAAGGAGAGAGAGAATAACATGAATGTCATTCCAAGTTAGATCATAGGACTGGGTAAGGTACTCAAATTCCTGAATATAATTGGTGGAATCCTCAGTAAAGGATTCTAGTCTTTTATTTATTTGGTACAAATCTGAGAGAGAGAAGGGGACATGAACTCTGATAATTCCCTCAGCTCCCTCTACTTCCCTCAGGGGCATTCTAAAACAGGGGGCCTAAGTAGAAGACAGATAGGGACCAGAGATGGTTCCCGATCCTGTGTGTGAGGGAATCATTTGCAGCAGTAGAGGACTTGGAGCTGGAGTAGAAGGTTCAGGGTAGGGTGGGGGACCCACAGAAGGGACTGGAGGTGGCCCTGCCGGAGGGGCTGAGGGAGAAGGTGGTGGAGCGAAATCAGCTGGGTCAAAGGAGGAAATAAGAGAAGTTAGCTCTACATCTTCAGAGGGAGGTTTGAGAAGATTAAAAGTGGAGTAGGAAAATTTGGGAGGGAGAGCAAGAGTCACATAAAAAGGGGTGTGATCTGAGTGCAAAGGGGCCTGGATGTAAGGAACCTCAGACCATTTTTTTTGCCTTCGACAGAAATTGTCTAGGTTGCCCTGGCCAGTTTTGCTCAGCGGTTAGAGCGTCGGCCCGCAAACTGTAGAGTCCCAGGTTCTGTTCCCACTAAGGGCACATGCCGTACTTGCGGTTCGTCCCCGGCCCGTTGGGGTCGTGTGGGTGGCAACCAGTCAATGTGTCTCTCTCACATCGATGTTTCTCTCTCTCTCTTCCTCCCTCTCTCCTTCCCACTCTATCTGAGGATGAATGCAAAATGTCCTCGGGTGAGGATACAAAAAAAAAGAAATTCTCTAGGTTGTTGAGAATGTCAAAAGTGCCGTTCTCAGCTATTGTAACTCATTGTCTAATTTGTACCGAGGCCACGCAGTGTTGCAGTAAAAAATGAGTCACTTGAGACGTAAGTCCTGAGCGAGCCTTAGGGCCTGTAGATTTTTTAGGAGACGTCCTAGGAGTGTTGCACAAGGAATGGATGATTGAGTGTTTCTCATGTTGCGGTGTGAGATGTTGTGGCCTAGCGGTCTGACGATACAGTATGGAAGAAGAAGGTGTCCCCCCTTCTCCCCTAGAATAGAGAGACATGCAACTCATCTATATCAGGCGTCCCTAGACATATGGTGAGCTGAGGGAACCTGGTTCCCGAGGAGTGTGTCCGAACCAGCACTGGATTTCGAGAGGGACGATCACACAGATGTGACTGAGAGACCTGGCTCTCTTATGTCCCGGACAGGGGATAACAGGACAGCCCGGAGAATCAGACTTGTAGGCAAAAACACTCACCAGTGAATTAGTATCCAGTGTTGCTCAATCGGCAGGAAAAGTTGGAGGACCGGTATCTGGCTGAGGATGTGATTGATCCCGGACCCACAGGAGTTTCAGTTTTGCATGATGAAAAGAGTCCTAGAGATGGATGGCGGTGATGGTTGCACAATAATATGAATGTGCTAAATGCCACTGAACTGAGCACATAAGAATGATTAAGACGGTAAAATTTAGGTTATCTGTATTTTTTTCACAATTAAAAATAATAATTAAAATGCCTAATGAATACCATATACATAGAGGAGCTGTGATGTGCTGGAAAATGTTTAACAATGGGCTCTCCAGAAAAATATTATCTGTAGCAGTTGCAGTTTCTGGCCAATTTCAAGCTACCAATATGATGCCACAGTGATGTCCCCACATTCCTGAAAAGTTGAAATCTGTCCTCACAAGTCACTTTAGCTGGCTCCAGGATACCACCAAAAGACAAAAATAAACATGCAATTTAAATAATCATTTTAAACCAGATACCCATGTCGTCATCACTCAGATCAGGAAATACGATGCCAGCACCATAGATGTCCATCCCCTCACCCCACATCCTCCATGATCACAATCCCTTGCTTCCCCCCAGAGGTAACCACCATCTTGACTTGAACTATCATCATTTCTTTGTTTTTTATTACAGTTTTAACACCAACATGTACCTCTCCAAAACTGAGTCTGTCTTTTTCCTTTTTTTCTTGTTGCACTTGAACAAATTGAAGTTTTTATTGCACAGTACACAGATTATAAGTGGACACTTAGAATAATTTTCACAAACAAAACATTTCTGTAATCACCACTCAAGTCCAGAAACAAACACTGTCAGCCTCTACCCAGAACAGGGCAGTGGGAGGAGGAGTATAGAGGAGTTGGTGGACCTATGTTAAAACTATGAGAAAAATACAGCGCTGCAGCAGAATTTTCACTGATTCATCACCCAAGGCAACAGAAACAAAGGAGAAAATGAACACATGGGACTACATCAAACTCAAAAGCTTCTGCACAGCAAAAGAAACAATCACCAAAATGAAAAGGCAACCCATTCTATGGGAGAGCATAATTGCCAACGATACATCAGATAAGGGGTTAATTTCCAAAATATATAGAGTGCTCATACAACTCAACAAAAGGAAGACAAAGAGCCCAATTAAAAAATGGGCAGAGGAACTAAATACACACCTCTCCAAAAAGGACATACAAATGGCTAAGAGACATATGAAGAAATGCTCAACATCACTAATCATCAGAGAGATGCAAATTAAAACAATGAGG